TGCTGAGAGGAAACAGATCTCCTCCTGGTAGGACAGATTTACCTCTTGCATGCCCATAAAAAGAGGTGGGTGTGGGACACCCACAAGACAGTGGTCCATGTGATACAGTGTATAGACATGTGGTACAGTGGGACGCTGCAAAACTGGAGTGAATAGCCCCGTTTCAGCGTCCTCCTGTCCCTCCACCTTGTTAGCACACAGCTGAGTTTCCATTCCCCAGAACATTGTGTTAATGGACAAGCCCTCAGCCGTGGGGTCGCAGCTATAAAGCTGTGATACTCTCTGGTGACCCGTTCCGCCGCAAAAACTCCCCGCGAAGGGAAGATTTGCCCATGGAGGGTTGACACAGAAAGGGCCGATTATTTACTGAGGACCCTGAACGCACCGCCGTCGGCCGCGCTCCACCCTAATGCTGTTCTCACCACTACGGTAAACAGCATTAATCGGAGTCTTTATAGGCGTAGTGTGTTTTACTAAGGTCCCTGAACGCACCGCCACGCGCTCTTGTGTGAGTGCGGGCTCCGCCATAATACAGCCTTTACCACTACGGGTAAACTGCATTGGAGTCTTTGCTCTAGGCGTAGTGTGTTCTCTGACAGCAATACCCCGGCCATAATGTCCCTGTACCCGCATAGCGCTCTCCTTTAGATAGCACTCCCTGCGGTTCATCCCTCTCATCTGCGCATGCCACCTCCTTTACAGGAGCTACAGCTGGGGCAGCGAATGGGGAATTTGTACGGTTAACATTGTGTGTAGGCCTAAGTGTAGCCTTTGTGGAAACAAAAGACACTTAGATTTGGATACAGATCAACCTCATTCTTATTAGAAAACGTAGTGATCTGTTCATTATACAGGGAGGAGGCGGGATTCGCCCCCTCGTCCCGGGCGGAGAGATTTTCTCTCCCCGCCAGCCAGATCCGTAAAGACGGAAAGCCCGTTCCCGTGAGTGCCGGCACGCCGGTTCCACGGGGTGGGCCGAAGAGGTGGAGGGCGCCGCGGGCACAGGATCTCCGTGCCGGCACCTCTCCCTTCGTCTCACCTCTCTACTGAAGTCTTTGAACGCACCGTGGCCCGCCCTCGGGGGAGGGGGGCCGCGCGCGCCGTCACAATGCCGTCTCTTTGAAACGGACATTATGGGGAAAAGTGGAATTGTGGAGAGAAATGACTCTTACTCTGGGATAAATGCAATAGTCTTTACTGAATGCATTTTTCCCACACACATACACCTCACTCCAGAACTAGAATTTACAAACGTAAACCACCGTTCTCCTGCGGGGGTCCCTGAACGCACCGCGGCCACTCTCACGAGGGCCGCGCGCCCACGTATTAACGCTGTATTTCCCATTGCAACGGTGAAATGCATTAATCGGAGCTATTATACCAGGCAAGGTGTGTTTTCTGACAACAGCACGCCGGCAATAGCGTCTCTTGAACCCGCACAGTGCTTTGACAGCACTCGGTTTATTCCACTCACGTGCACACGCCCACCTGCTGGCTCCCTATACTGGGGTTTACAGCAGGGGCGGGGAGTGTAGGACAGTGTTTCTTCCTCTGGGAATGGGCAAGAAGCAGCCACGCTGCGTCTACTCCTCATCCCGTGAGCAAGGAGATCGATCCAAAGAGGCCTTCCGTAAACACGGGGGCTCCCAGGAGATCAACACGATGCTCTTTGGAAAGTGCCACGCGGCGTGATATCCCAGGGACATCACACGGCGGGCAGCGGCGGCGGCCTGTGATGAAGTAGGGTCGACCCTATATCATGTGAAGCCACCGAGCACCGGTCCCCGGGGGAACCGGGCCTGGGGCAAGGCCCGTGGACCAAGCTACTTATTCGGCCTTGCGGCCCAATAATCGCTCTGACCTGGTGAGGCGGGGGCATCTCTAGCAATGAGTGAGTAGCCCACACACCCGCCACCATGATCATCACCCAGGGAGAGTATAGCCCTGGGCGGTGGACTTCCCTGGACGCCAGACCCGGAAGGAATGGCGAACGTGAATGGCACCGCCTCGGCCATATCCTGGTCCCCCAAACACTCGAAGCAAAGGTGGTGGGGATCGGCGCCCGCTATTTCAGCCAGGTAGGCCCGCCCAAGGCCTGCTACGTCTATAGAAGTCTCAGTGGGAGAATACTCGCAGGGTAAGGTAGTACCCATAGAGTCCAGTAGAGGGCGGAGCCTGTGAGAGATATAACTACATTTGAAAGGAACTAAATGTAACCAATCTCACAATTGATCAAATTTATTTTACATTTGTGAGTGAACTTTGAAGCAGTAGTGTATATACTTGGTGTTCATGTTATCTGACTGGTGAACTATAAATAAGGAAACGTAATAACCCCAGACAACCCTCTGATTATTGAGGGTTAGTTGAACTGAATGTATAGTCAAAAATGTTTAATAATTGTACAAAATATAAGCATAGTGGCAAGGAAAGGATTGTGTAAAGGAATTTCTTCAGATTGACGTCTCACAATAGTGGTATTACTTATTACTAGTGTTACTGTTTTCATTCTCAAGGTTTAAACATTTTGGAACTACACAGAAGTGACTGCTCTAGAAACACTGCTGTGTGAGATATTTTGTTGGGAAGTCACAGTAATATCTTTGTCATTGTTTATCAGGAAATGTATTTATACTTGCAAAAGAGGAATTTCATTAGAGTATTGCCTTTTCTTAATGGTGCTAATGGAAGTAGACCATTTGTTGTGTATGGGACTGTAATACTAGATGTAATCGCTCCTGATATTCTACCATTTCTCACACATTTAATCAACACTTCTCTAACTTCTGGTCACTTTCCAAACAGTCTCAAGGAGGCAAGAGTAAACCCTCTCCTAAAGAAACCCACTCTCGACCCGTCTGATGTTATAAACTACAGGCCTGTCTCTCTCCTCCCGTTCCTGTCTAAAACACTTGAACGCGCCGTCTTTAAACAACTCTCCTGTTATCTCCACCAGAACAACCTTCTGGACCCACACCAGTCTGGTTTCAAGGCAGGTCACTCCACAGACTCATTGCTGTCTCTGAGGAACTGCACACTGCCAAAGCAGCATCCCTCTCCTCTGTCATCATCCTGTTGGACCTGTCTGCTGCATTCGACACGGTGAACCATCAGATCCTCCTTTGCACTCTCCAAGAACCTGGAGTTTCAGGCACTGCACTTTCCCTCCTCACCTCATACCTCAAAGACCGTACCTACAGGGTAACTTGGAGAGGGTCCGAGTCCGACCCTTGTCAATTAACTACAGGGGTCCCTCAGGGCTCTGTTCTTGGTCCCCTCCTCTTCTCCCTGTACACAAACTCGCTCGGATCTGTCATTAGCCCGCATGGTTTTTCGTACCACTGCTACGCTGACGACACCTAATTAATTCTGTCCTTTCCCCGCTCAGAGACCCAGGTCGTCGCACGCATCTCTGCTTGTCTAGCTGACATCTCTCAGTGGATGTCTGCTCACCACCTCAAGCTCAACCTTGACAAGACTGAACTGCTTTTCCTTCCGGGAAAAGATTGTCCCACTCTTGACCTGACAATCAACATCGGCAACTCTGTCGTTTCCCGACTCACTACTAATTTCAATAAACTAGTTTACATTTAAAATTAAATTAACTTTGCTTTCTGGAACAAAATCATGCAGTCTCTTCAACCCCATTTTCGTATTATTTTTAGGGCTGTCAAGTTAACGCAAAAAAAAATTAACGCCACTAATTATTTTAACACGATTAACGCATGTGTATTTTTTTTCCTCGGCCGCCCCGTAGTTTCAGAGCGCATCGAGTTTAAAATACCATCTACAAGCTGATGCTGACAGCCCGCTCCTGCCGCCCGCTTGTGGCAGACCACTTCCACGCTCACCGGCAGGCACAGACTGGTTATTGGGAGGACCGGGAGGGTGTGTGTATGTGTGGCCCGAGGGAGCGAGAGAGAGACCTTACGTGCATTGTTGTTGTTAGCATCTGGTGCTAGCTAGCTGCGCTAACGGATATAAGGAGCTGTTTAAATGAAAACAGAGGAGCGCTCTATCCACACAACTGCGCCGAGCACTTGACTTTATGCAGGTAGCCAGACAGCGGGACATTGTACGAAAAGTCAGCACACTCAGCACGGATAGTGCGCAACGTCCAGGCAGCTCCCGTTCGAGCATATGCCTTGAGTTGCACATAGCTCCAACGATACAACACACACAACACACACACACACACACACACACACACACACACACACACACACACACACACACACACACACACACACACACACACACACACACACACACACACACACACACACACACACACACACACACACACACACACACACACACACACACACACACACACACACACACACACACACACACACACACACACACACACACACCATTTGTATTGTATTATTGTATGAGAGAGGTTCCAGGTTGAATTGAGGCGAATATTTGTAATGTTCAGAGGTTGTTGTGTTTAATATTCATGAGAATATTTGTCATTGTTCAAATGATAATAAACATTAGCATAAAGCATATTTGTCCACTCTTATGTTGATAAGAGTATTAAAAACTTGAAAAATATTCCTCTAAGGAACAAAATGTGCGATTAATTTGCGATTAATCGCGATTAACTATGGACAATCATGCGATTAATCGCGATTAAATATTTTAATCGACTGACAGCCCTAATTATTTTACATTAAATACCTGTGATTTATTCTAAACTAAGCTGTTGTCACCTGTAGATGATACCTAAATGCCACTAGAGGGCCATATCAACAACATAAATCAACAGTTTCTATATATCCTTCTTCAGATTTAGATAACTAACTAACTAACTGTTTGAAAAATGTCAGTTCAAACTGATTTCACTTAAAAGTATATAGTTCTAGGGTTTTCAAAAAGAGCCAAATTGAATGTTTCAACATGTTGGAGATTTTCAAAGCAATACTGCTCTTTTGAAATTCCTGCATCAACCAATTGTAGTTGTAAAAATGACAATTAATACAGAGGCTTACTTCTTCATTTTTGTCCTGCACTGAGTCGTTGGGTGCTGGATCTGAATCTGAGGATCTCTCAATGTGATGCACTGGATGATCTGTTCCAATCCTCGAGGGATGATATCTCCTAGGTTGGTTCCTCACCTGCTTTCTCCTGGTCTAAAAATGAAATTAGCAGATTAGCAGATGATGGACTTGTATAGACTGGAGAGCTGTTCAATTAAAATGTATGGTTTTGGATTTGCAAAGAAGTTAATAGAAATGTAAGAGCCAATATTTATAAATGTTTTATACATCTGAGCAGCTCTTCTAACTCAACTATTACTCTGACTGAGAAAATCAAGATATATTTTATCTTTTTAGGATTTTTTAATGTTACAAATGGATTGCACATTTATGGAAGCCCATTTCCGCCACTTGAAAAAAATAAAATCCCCATGAAAAGTCATAATTATGAGATAAAAAAGTCGAAATTATGAGATAAAAAGTCATAATTATGAGATAAAAAGTCATAATAATGAGATAAAAAGTCATAATTATGAGATAAGAAAGTCGAAATAATGAGATAAAAAGTCATAATTTTGAGATAAGAAAGTCGAAATTATGAGATAAAAAGTCATAATTATGAGATAAAAAGTCATTATGAGACACTTTGTCACAACAGACAAACTAGCAGCTCTTTGGCTCGAGTTCTCCTATTTATCTTGACACGGAAATGGATTGTGAGTACATTGAGGACTACTTTAAACGTGGATTTACAACAGATGAATTACTTAATTTGCTTGCTGATTCACATGGAGTTGTACTAAGCAAACGCACCCTTGAAAGGATTTTAAGCAAGAAGCAGCTCTGGCGTCGAAAGAATAAAACCGATGTGGCTAAGGTGGCAATCTTCATTGAACAGCAACTGGAAACATCTGGTCAGTGTCATGGTTACAGATGGATGCACCAAAAATGTTGGTTACATGGAATTGTGACTGACAGAGAAACAGTACGAATACTGCTACAGTTATTGGATGGTGAAGGTGTTGATCTGAGGTCAAGAAACAGACTGCGAAGGCGCATCTACCACAGCTATGGTCCAAACTATGTATGGCACATTGATGGTTACGACAAGCTTAAGCCATTTGGAATTGCAATCAGTGGATGCATTGACGGGTTTTCCAGAAAGATGATATGGCTTGAAGCTTACAAAACAAACAAAGACCCGAAGATCATCGCTGGCTACTTTATTGATGCTGTTATCAATGCTGGTGGGTGCCCTGCCAGACTCAGACTTGATTTAGGAACAGAAAATGGCCATATGGCTGAAATGCAGCAGTTTTTGCATTTTTCTGAGAACCAAGCTGAAACAGACAATGTAACCTTTGGTCCAAGCACTGGAAACCAGCGTATTGAACGATGGTGGCTGACCTTGCGAAGTGAGTGTGTCCAGTTTTGGATGGACCTTTTTGACAAACTGAGTGTAGATGGCTACTTCTCAGACAACTTCTTGGACAAGTCCTTGATCCAGTATTCAGAGTAGCTGTGTCAAATAAGTAGGTATTTAAGAATTTTTATTTTCGGGTTTATCCACCACATTTTTATAGCTGTTAAGATATAACATTAGTTGCACTGCTGCAATTTACATTTTACAGGTATTAATATGATTGTGCCAACCTACCATAGTACAACTAGAAGACACATCTCACAAATATAACAAACCATGGGTCAGGAGTATACTTGACTAAGGCAGTAATCACCACTGCCCAGTATTTTTATACATTCTATTTGACTGAATATGATTTGCCTCCTAGGAAAAACTTAATGAGGTTGTATTGACTTGGAACAATCACAGAGTCCGTCAAGTCCATAACTCACGATCACCCCATGGACGTCCCTCCATATTGCATGCAGTCCCTCATCTGTATGGAGGCAGAGATTGTTTGCACCACGTGGACCTGGAGAAAGTTCAAGGACTTCCCATGTGATGAAGATGTGTTCCATATCTGTGTGGATCTAATGTCAGAGTATAATCTGAAATTAACAAATGATGTGTTTGAAACTGTTAACCTGTATATCACACTCAGACAACTGATGAACAATGAACTGGATCATTAACTTTCCTGGGGCAGTGTCACAATTTATATTTCAGAAATGTGTATTTGTTTCCTGTTTCATTCCAGGACAAATTGAAATATATATACTGATTGCAATTGTCAGAATTATGATATACTTTAACCTGTGATGAATGAAAATATAATTGTAGCTGTTTGAGACACGTCAAATATGTACCTAATATTCTCAGTACATATATTTTTATGTATACACAAATAAAGTCATGTGTTGCCCTTAGATTGACTATGTGTAAAAACAGGATACAAATGCAAAATACACACATGTATTAATAGAATTATTTATTCAATTATTTAAACAGATAGCATACAAAATTGCTGTTTTCATTTTGACTGGATATAATTGTTTCCAAGCAGCTCTTTGATGGCTGAGTCACTGAGCATGTCCTGTATCATATCACAACCCAGTCTCACGGCATTTCGTGTTCACCAACACGATTTTTAATCTATTGATTCGTGTTCACCAACACGATTTGCCCCTTTTTTTCGTGTTGCACAGCACGATTTTAAAAGCAATGTATTTCTACTGTCTGCAGCACGTCTTTTTCTCCGGTCGGGTCGAGGAAGACCGGAAGCTGTGTGGTTCATAAAAACATGTTCTTACTCAATATCAAGCCACAGTTATTGCTTTTATTTGAAATCGTATAATTTCTGACTTTTGTTGCCGTCTGTGAGGAAAATAAATGGGGCTCAGAGCCTCAGGATACGGAAATCTGTATTTTTCAATATTTTTTTCCTTCTAATTCGATATTCTTTTCAAAATAACAGACTGTTATTTACTCACCAATAACACACAATTATCCTTGCTTTTATTTATTGGTTTAATTCCATAATCTCGGGCTTTTTTGACGTCCGTCAGGAACTGAATTTCAAAATAAAAATAACCGGAAACAGACGTAGGCCTATAAGGGACATTTCGAGCATCATTGCGATTGTCAACATTTCTGAGTTTAGGATGGCCGAAGACACTACACTACCCATAATCCCCAGCTATCGTTTAGGACTACAGTCCCCGTAAGGTTACGCAGAGCGTCAAACAGCTGTGTGAAATGGAACGAAACCACGCCAGACTATCCAAAACTGGAATCGAACGCCCCCCCAGAACTACACATGCTGGCTATTGTGTTTCGCAAAATGTTCTATGGGACGTCTCTACTGAACGTTTTCGTTTTTTCCCACAATTAGAAGTTGCCAGTATTAAACACATTGGTGTTATCAAATGTAAAACATATAATTAATAAATGGGTGAAAATCGCTTGTGTCCATAATGCGCAGCATTAATACCCACATGACAGCTCATTGTTACTTTGTCATTCTACTCCACTACAATTCAGAGGTTAACCTGGTATTTTTACTCCACTGCATTTATTTGAGTTACTTTGCAGATTGTGATTAATTATGTGAAATATAAACAACGATTCAATCAGACTTTAGTTACACCTGAGTAAAATTCAGGTAAGGTGATTGTCAAGTGCCAACAATCAGGAGAGATATTTGATAGTTGGTGCTTGAGAAGACTAAACATGTATCTGCAATTGACATGAATGGAAACGAGTAATAAAGTATATTCCTTACTCGTTATTCTCTACTAATAGTTAATTAAAGACTGTATATTATGGCTATTTTGCACATCCCTTTCAAGATTTTCAAAGGTGTATTGACATATCATATACACAACTACGGTGTAGTTATGCAATGAATGAAACACTTGGGTCACAGGTTCCTCAACAGTGCATTACAAGACATCTATCAATATGTGTGTACCTCCACCATTAAACTGTCATATTCTGCACATTTCTTATTCTATCTACATACATAAGAGTATAATTCATATGTATAATATCAGTTAAAATAAGTGCTTCAACATAGTTAACATTGCAGGAAAGCCATATATTAGACGTTAAGTACTTTGTCAGGCTTAATATTTATCTGTAGGTAGATACCCCCAAAGTTTTTTTCTTATTTAAAAGAAGACCTTAATCTGTTATTTAATGTTTAAATAAAGGTTAATTCGTTTTTCTGTTTTGCACCTCCTCCTATTAATATCTTTGTACATTCTGCACTAAACTGTTTTATTGTAGAGATCACTTATAGTATCTTCTTGATTTTTTATATTCTATATTTATACTTTCCCCCTATGAAAGTATGTACTCTTAATATTTTTTTAATCAAATAAAACACAATAATTCAAAACGTGCTTTAACCACTAGGCGGTGCACACAAGGTACACACAGCCATAATAACTTTGTATTATTAGTGTAGGACACTTTTGTTTTCGTACAACATCTGAAAATGTGTAGTTTTATGCATGCTTTTACATAATTTTACAGCATATTGCTATACTATTTCAGACTCAGTATTTACATTCTTACTTTCAAAGAAAATCAGTAATATCTTTAAAAACTACAGTCCTTTTATATCAGCTGTGCACCGTTATGGTGTAAATATAACCTATCTGTGAATTAGATCAAATGTAAAAGTCAGCCGAATTAGTGTTGATACTGCAAGGAGACGTATTGTGTGAAGAGAAATTGAAGATGTTGTTTAATTGTTGAATATATTTATGATCCACGTCAAGTTAACGTTAACTCTCAAAGCGTCTTTGAGTTTCATGAAAAGCGCTATAAAAGTCCCATGTATTATTATTATTATTATTAAGTATTCAGTTTCGGCGGCATTTTCTCAGTTTTTCCAAAGGTCTTCTCATCAGGGCTCTATAAATAAAGAACTACGGCAGATCTGTAATATGTAATGCAGCCGAACCGTGTATTACAATGCCGTTATGTGATGACTTTCAAAGAGAAAAGCAAGAGCGCTCGGAATTAAGTATTATTTTATTCTTTTAAAATGTTTTCCGGATTTCATATCATATAAACACCAAATCCCAGCATGCATTGCGGCTAAAACATCCAATAAGCGAGCTTAAAACCATAGCTGAGGATCTTGGGTAATCGCTCGAAATGCCTACGTCTGTTTCCGGTTATTTTTATTTTGAAATTCAGTTCCTGACGGACGCCAAAAAAGCCCGAGATTATGGAATTAAACCAATAAATAAAAGCAAGGATAATTGTGTGTTATTGGTGAGTAAATAACAGTGTGTTATTTTGAAAAGAATAACAAATTAGAAGGAAAAAAGATTTAAAAAATACAGATTTCAGTATCCTGAGGCTCTGAGCCCCATTTATTTTCCTCACAGACGGCAACAAAAGTCCGAAATTATACGATTTCAAATAAAAGCAATAACTGTGGCTTGATATTGAGTAAGAACATGTTTTTATGAACCACACAGCTTCCGGTCTTCCTCGACCCGACCGGAGAAAAAGACGTGCTCCAGGCAGTAGAAATACATTGCTTTTAAAATCGTGCTGTGCAACACGAAAAAAAGGGGCAAATCGTATTGGTGAACACGAATCAATAGATTAAAAATCGTGTTGGTGAACACGAAATGCCGTGAGACTGGGTTGCATATCACGATAAGAAGAACATCCGTTTAAAGGCAGCAGCTGTTTCCCTTTCATCCTCTCTCCTTCTGCATCCCTCCATCCTCCCACTGCTTTCACAATGGTGTGCTAAGCCAGGGAAGAGCAGGCAGCAGAGAGAGTGAGACAGAGCGAGTGACTTCCTCAAACACTCCTCGCTCCTTTCTCCCCCTCCATTTATCTGAATCCAACCAATCAGCTGGCAGACTTCAATAAACCTCTGAAACCAAAATTGCTGTTTTCATTTTGACTGCATTTTAATCTAACTTGCTACAGCATCAGCAGCCTTTAATCATAATCTATCGATACGTTTATGAGTGGTTTAAATGGCAAACTGTCTTTTGGTAAATAACAAGAACAGCACCTGAATAGAATAGTGCTTAACAAAGGAATATATACATTGTTGTCTGAAATAACTGATTTAGACTCAGGTTATTAGTGAAGTCTAGCAATATAAACCATCAATCTTAAACGACTTCCTTAACTGAGGTATTCACAGAAAGGTATCTGCATTGAAACGTAAACATGTTCTTAAACTGAAAACAATGTTCAACAAAAGTGGCTAAAAGCAGTAAAGAAATATTGACAAGATGTTGATGCGGTGGCACTCAGTAAGGTTAAACAAGCTGTATTACTTCCTTCACAATAATCTGGAAAACCTACAAATCCTAAACGTGAACCTCTGATTGCAGTCTAGTTGCTGTAAGCTGAAATGTTTGTATCTTAGACAATATCCATTACCCACACGTTGCTATCTAAGACTTTGTTCATTTCATGTCGAAAATCTGGGTAGTGGTCGTAACTGACTGGCAACTCCAAGTAACAGCCACATGTATGAGCAACAGGTCTTCTTTGAAATCCCTGAAGTTGTGTGAAGCTGACAGTGACGCTCTTTCCTGTGAACAAATCTGATCCTGTGCAAAATCTGAGGAAAAGGGAGAGGTGCTGGGTGTCTGACTCTCTAAGATATGCACTAACATACTTGACCATTTGTTTCTCCTGGGCATTCTGTGTACTGGGGTAAGTCATTGATCTCATGATCTTTCTTGATGTTGGTTGTAGCTCTTCATAGACTGCTGCAATCCCTTTCAGCTCTGATCTAAGAGGTGCAAGTGTGTTGTTCCACTGTTCAATCACAAAAGCAGGCTATTGAATCAGTTTTTGGTGAGCAATCTCCTTCAAGATTTGCTCAAAGTTATCTGCTGTTGGAAGCCGCCGGCAGTTGTGGATATCCATGATTTCCAACAATTATTCTTGGTCCACACCTTCAAAATCTGAACGACAAGATTCAAAGATCACCCGCTCAGACTCTGACACATACTTGAGAAAGCTGTCCACAAGATCACTCTCAACAAAGTCCAAAACAGCTTGCTCCAGAAGTACAGGTGAAAGTTTAACAGGAAGGTACTTCTCTTTTTTCCAGCCAAATGTGATTATTCGGCCTACACTTTCCCATTCTTGTTTACCAAAATCATGACGCAGGTATGGCACTTTGAAGCCATTTCCCATAGTGCACTGCTCATAAAAGTCATTCCAAAATTCGGACAGTATATCCCTCATAACACCTCCACCATCCACAGCTTTTTCAAGCTTTCCATCGGGAAGAATAACTTGGAAGTGAAAGTCATTCTCCATGATATTTTCCTCAGAAAACACTAGAATAAGTTCTCTGAGAATCTGTCCACGATGAAGAACAATAATTTTCTTCACTCTTTCTCTCTGATTGGCTTGTTCCTGAAACATGTCCATTGAAGGAGGCATGGATGATTCAATAGACAGTTCCGTAGAGAGAGGCAATGTATCATCAAGTACTCCATCAGAGAGATGCTGTCTGTGCGGAAAGTTACAATGCCACTATCATCTAAAGCACCGACATGAAACAGTGTTTCATGTTCTTGAAAACTGGATGCATCAGTTGGGTTGACTGTGGTGTAAAGAAGGGAAACACTATCACTGTTTTCATTTGCAAAAACTGTGCTGCTTCCAACAAAAATGTCATCTGAAGTACTTATCTCCACCGGATCTGTTACAGATGTGTCTGTAGAGAGGTGATAGATATCAGGTCTGGCATGTGTGTTTTCACCTTCTTGAGCAGTTGCATCACTATTGTTTTCCACCAGAGTTATGTCACTGGCAATGTCTCTCTTCTTGGTTGCTAAATAGAAACATAAGAGAGGTAATTTTGTCTTTTCATACAGTTCCTTGACTGTGATACTATCCTCTAATGAATGCCGCTGAAAGTCCGTTAAATCAATGTCAAAATCAGTAAGGCTCCCCTCTGCATTTTTTCCATCTGGAAAAAACAACTGTACAGCCTTTTCAATTAGGTTCTGTTTTGTACTGTCCTTCATGACACTCTCTTTTCTGGTCCCCCCACCCTTTTTGGTGTGTACCTGCACAAATTCCCCTTCTCTGAAATGCACCCATCCAATTTCAATCTTTCTTTGATTCTTCTGAGCATTCTTTGGAGCGGTTTGATGGTCTGTCTCAGACACATGATCACCTTTGTTTCTTGAGAGCTTTCCTCTAAGTCGCTCAAAGAGCTTTGACTTGGGTGGGTTCTTTTTCCTTCCGTCTACAGTATCCAAAAACAGCCAGTCGATCACCATAGGATGGCAGATACTCTCTCAGCTGGTCATCTGTCATGAGAGTTATGACACTGGAATCCATCTAAAATGAAGAAATATATCAAGAATTCTTAGGTCAAGTGAATTAAATTACAACAATGAAAAACCTGCATACATAGCACCAGGTATTATTTTCAAAGCTCTTCCAAACTTTGGTTTTTTTTATGTTTATTTGTGAATTGTCCAAATTAAGCATTTCCTATATCAAATCAAATCAAGTGTTATTTATAGAGCAAATTTAAAAACGATTTTTGGTCGAGCCAAAGTGCTGTACATGTAATAAAGACACTTTACTACAATAACAAGAAATGTTCAGAAATATAAAAACAAAATATATATAAACTACCATCTCCTGTTCCATTCGCTGTATGTCTTCCTCAGGCACATGTCGTGACCTTAAATAGTCAGATAGCTCGTCCATCTTGTGACAGTTGAAAAAACCTCTCCACCTCTGTTGAATGAAATGAAAGCTTAAATGTAACCTTAAATACATTTGATTTATAAAGTTGATTTTTACAAAATCGTTTTTGTTTGTCGTTTTGGTATTCAAGCATCTTCACATTAAAGGTAGGTTGTGTAAGTTTGAGAAACCGGCTCAAGATCGCTAGAATTTGAAAATACACAACCGGAGAAAATCTGCCACTTCCTTATAGATCCCCTCCTCCAACACACACGAACGCGCACATGACCAATGAGGACACGAGATAAGTTTGTGCACAGATGGAAGGCTGACAGGCAGGTAGGCCATCCAGTTATTTTAGACGGGCCGGCTAAAATGATTGGTCGTGCTTTTTACAGTACTACGGCTTCCACTGATACATTTTTTTAATGGATTTATTGTCATTCATTGCTATCGGGATGTTAAGAGCATTCCATGGAATATAACAAAAAGCGTATCTCGAGCCGGTTTCTCAAACTTACCTACCCTACCTTTAAATGTCATGTTTAAATAAGACTATAAACTATACTCCAAATTCTCCAACTAAGGAGGAAGGGGAGCATTATTTCATTTTATTAGATTTTATTGATGTTGTAATACTTAAAATAGGACTCTTGGTTATCAGATTTTCGTAAGTTGCCCTCTGATATGACAAATCCAATCTTTAAAGTGGTTAAGGGGAAATATTCACTCCTTTTGATTTTATTGTGAGGCAGCTTATGACATCGCTGAATGAAAAAGCACCTGCAGTGACTAGTTGACGATAACCTGTTTGGCTGGATGTTCAACAAAATAAAGAAGCCAATGGAACTTCAATTCATGTTTTTAAAATGCAATTTGTATTAAGAAGGGAAAGTTGTTACATATATGCCATGAGCGTGTTTATTTACTTAATGCTCTGCTTTTTTTCAGAACTGTGTAGCAAAAACTGATTTGTAAAAAAGGGTTGACCCGGCTTGTATTAATATTTTATGAAACAATTAGCTATCATACTGACATGGATGGCAACAACTTTCATTGTACGTTGATACATCTCAACAGCAAATGTTGCGTTGCATGTAAACTAACAGTTGACTATTTTCAGACTTGTTATAACATTCCCATTAGGCTTTTCCCTCTTTCATGAACATAAGTTACCTATAAGCTATACTTTAGTTGTGATTAAGACTATATTTAATATAAGGAAAAATGCAACATTTGTTCTAATTGGTCCCTACTCTTCTCCTACTCTGCCTCCTTCTCCTCCTCTCTTCCTATTCCTCATCTCCTCTCTTGCTTACTCCCTCTTCCACACTTCCTCACTCTCTCCTCTTACTCTAACTCGTATATTGCTAACACACTCCTGCCCGCATTATCAAGAGCCTGACTAAGTTCTAGATTTGCCAAGTAGCCGAGATATCCATGTGTTATGATATTAGGGTCATGCAGAATGAGATCGCTATGAGAGAGAGAGAGAGAGAGAGAGAGAGAGAGAGAGAGAGAGAGAGAGAGAGAGAGAGAGAGAGAGAGAGAGAGAGAGAGAGAGCGAGAGAGAGAGAGAGAGAGAGAGAGAGAGAGAGAGAGAGAGAGAGAGAGAGAGAGATAGAGAGAGAGAGAGGAGAGAGCGAGAGAGAGAGAGAGAGAGAGAGAGAGAGAGAGCGTGCATGGTGCGAGAGCGTTTTTATGTTTTCTGGAAGTAAAACGAAGCAGCAGAAAATATAGGTCTGTGAAGTATTTTGTGTAACAAGAAGAACTAAACAAATGCAACGGCCTCCAAAGAAGAGCTTGCCTCTCTCCAGTCATTTCGATATTATTGAACCTGAAGCTTGTTGCTTCGGCCCTGGGAGACCACAGAGTAATCCCCTGTTTCCTCGACTACGGTCTGGGAGCCGACAGGAAAGTTCAACACATGCATAATGAATGCTATCCATGTTATCTGACTGTACCACTTCGGTTTGGTGATGTTACTGAATAATCGCTATGGCATTAGCATTTCCCCCAGAATAGCAAACTGAAAAGCGATAAAGAACGACAGTGCAATGTACAATTAACGCATGACTTTTTAACCACTGCGTTACATGTACTGTAGGCTACTATAATTAGTGGTGTATGTACCGTAGCTGAGATAACATTTACGGGTTAGAGTTAGGCTAGCAGCAGCAGTATGCCTACACCAGTGGTTCCCAAACGGTGTGCCGCGGCACACTGGTGTGCCGTGAGGCAAGTCCGGGTGTGCCGTGGGATTTTGTGCAACCATACGTTATTATTGCAATATACAACTACACAAAAATAATTATTTTTTAATTTACTATCAGTACTTTGTAGGTTTATATTTATACATCATCTCTCCACGTGTAGTGCTGCATAAACATGGCTGAGTCAGCGATAACTTTCGAGGGGTGAAGGTATGCCCATTACTTTGAGTTTGTCCGAAGAATAGACAGGAATGTGACGGTGAGGTGCAAACTGTGTCCAGGCCAGAAGCTGTTATCCACTGCTGTAAACACCACGTAAAACCTCAACAAACACCTGCAAAGAACACATGCTAAGGTGAAGCTACCGCACACGCTATTTGTTGTTTGTTTATATCACGTAGTCTGTTCTTCTTCTCTGTCTTCCGGTTGTTGCCTGTTTTGAATGACAAATATACACTACCGCTGCCTGCTGGTAAGGAAAGTTATTGCCACTCACGCATGCGCAGTTCGTACGTGCTCGGCGAGTAAAGTAACGAGTTACTTTATGCAGATAGTAACGAAGTAGTGTAATATATTACTTTTTTTAAAGTAATACATTTATAATTTATAATTTGTAGTTCAGGACCATGGACAATGCAGCTTCCTTGCATTGACAGTTCTCTGTGCTGAATTTCTGCTGAGTTTCCTTTGCCTCATTTTTAATTTTGTGACTTGTCTGGTTTAAATGAGTGTGTTGCTGCTTTGATGAAGCCTAATTTGATAAAGTTTCAAATTAATTTCTGAAATATTTCGTAATATAGTTGTCTTTGTCACATTTTATTTGGCATTAGTAAATAATTATGCACATTTACAGATATTTTACATGATATGAGTGATAACACGTGTTATAAGGGCTATTTTGCACAATAGGTGTGCCTTGAGATTTTTACTTGTCCTTTGGTGTGCCTTGGGCACAAAAAGTTTGGGAACCACTGGCCTACACTATTGTCATTAGTGGCGTGAACGTTACCACAAAACTATAGGCATATATATTATAGTTCATAACAGGTCATATCAAAGCTATGAACTGCATTGTTGTAGTTTAGCTGCAATATAGGCTATATGTAACATCTAACATTTACAAAAGTCACCTTATTTAGGACTAGATGCCGTTTCCATGGTGGAGAGCAGCAAAGGTGATGAAGGGACCTTTGAAGACAGCGCCACTGCAGCGCATGCGCACTTATTATCTCATAATTATGACTTTTTATCTCATAATTTCGACTTTCTTATCTCATAATTATGACTTTTTATCTCATAATTTCGACTTTTTTATCTGATAATTATGACTTCATGGGGATTTTATTTTTTTCAAGTGGCGAAATTCCATACACATTACATTTAGTAAATAGTAGGGACTTTAACGTGTTAATTAAGATTAATTAATTACACAAAAATTAACGCGTTAAAAAAATTAACGCATTTGAATCGCACTTATTTTTGCACCGCGGAACGTTTCTCACTGGATGAGTTTCAGGCGTACCGATTATACTGGAGCACCAACTAACGTTCATGACTTCAGACAACAACAAACCACAGTGAACAACAGTGGGAAATGTTGTTTTAAAAAACGGACGGATGGAAGCGTCGATAAGAGCACGGTTGTGTGCAAATTATGCAAAAAGGAATTCGCATATCACCGCAGCACATCAAGCCTCAAGTATCACCTCAATGCAAAACATATAGCAGCTAGCGTGGAAGCTAGCGTGGACGTTAGCCTCTTTAATCGCGTTCACACCAAAAAGAGCCGGTACTAAAATTAGTTCATGAGAACCTTTTTACCCCCACGAAAGTCCCTGCTAGAGAGCAGAGAGCTGCTAGAGAGCGGGGACTTTCGTACGGCTCTCTTGTGAGAAAAGAGCTATATTTCTGATTGGCTGGGCGGATTGCAAACCACGCCCCATAAAACTCCCAAAAAGTTTTGTGAAGCCGCCATTTTTTCCCCCATGCATTAGCATTATTAGCATTAGCCCAGCGCAGAAACGCAGAGAGACTAACTTATGGCAACACAAAATAAAACATGGGAGCGGTGGAGATGAGGAGGTGTCGGCGTTCTGGCGATTTACTCGGAAGGCTGCTGGGACTCCCAGCAGCTTCTACTGAAGCCAGTCCCCAACTCCGGGGACTTCCGGCCGGGGACTTTGGGCGGCAGTATACGCCGTGAAGTGGTTTGCGGCCTGCCAGTAAACCCAAAGCAGAAGAAGAAGAAGAAGTGATGTCAGCGGCTTCATTTGCCTAATCCACCCCCAGGTTCAAAGAGTTCTCATGAACCTTTGTGGGAAAAGTACTGCGGTGTGAATGCGCCTAATGGTATACTAAAATCCATGTGAAAAAAATTGCTTCTCACTGTTCTTAGGTCAAATATTTATATGTGATTAAAAATGCGATTAATTTCGATTAATTAATTACAAAGCCTCTAATTAATTAGATTAATTTTTTTAATCGAGTCCCGGCCCTAGTAAATAGATATATCTGGGGGGAAAGGGGGTAAGAGGTGAATGTGCAGTTAATCGGCTTACACTAAATATGTTCACAATTTAAAAACCTTACATTTTGAAATGGGCCACCTTCATATTTGTTAAGAGTTAAATAGTGCACCTACACATACAGATGTAGTACTCCAGATCAGACTCAGATGGGTGTGTCCCAGTCAAAAGCCCAGTGGATGCCAGTGGCTGGGGGTGTTGCCAAATTGCTAGAGGGCATTGCCCAATTTCCCCATTTGTTCAATTACAGGATTTAATCATGAGATGGCGCTTCATTCACAAAATACACAAAGACAACTGGGTGTTGTAGAAC